TATCCCCTGTGTGCCTTGTCGACTCAGTTATATTAAATGTAATATACTTTAAAATTTAACCAATTCATTCAAAGCTACACGTAAGTGAGATTTTATTATAAGTTTATAAGGAATAAAAATATTTACCCTTTGAAGCAACATCGTACAATCTGATTGTGAATTCAATCATCGTGAATTTATATAAATTCTAGCTTATATCTTAGTTTTCCAAAGGGATACCAATATTTTCTTTAAAATATCGTTGAAATATCATTAATCTGTGAATGTTTTGATCGTAAAATAAAATTTTAGGTAAAAATTCGTTACGAACTTAATTATAAGACTTACTAGATGTCATTGCAATAAATAAACTTGATAGTATATAATTAGTGATTATATTTTTTGAAGCATGTTATTCAATGTTATTTTTTGCAACTATTAACATGTCAATTATAAAGGAATCTCAAATTTAAAGTGATTATAATTGGATGTTAAATAAATAAAAAGTTTAGCTTATAACGGTCACATAAAATGTTGCACTTTTTTTCTTAAATAACTAATTATTTTATCAAAAATAAATTGTATTTATGATATAATAAATATGTTTATTGATTTTTTTCATCAGTATTTTTATTACCTAGTATTATAGAAAATTATTAAGATTCACAATCCATAATTTTTTAACGAAAGTAAAATTTATTGTTTTATAATAAATATGATGTATGTATAAAAGCAGGAAATAATTTATTCGATGCGACGTTTTGATTAACTAGATTTATAAAATTATTAGTTATTGAAGAAAAAAAAGAACAATATTTTATATGACAGTTATAAGCTAAACTTTTTATTTTATAATCACATTAAATTGAGATTCTTTTATAATTGACATGTCGATAGTTACAAACATAACCTTAAACAACATGCTTTAAAAAATATAATCACTAATCATAGACTAGCAAATTTACTTATTGCAGTGGCACCTAATAAGTCTTATAATTAAGTCCGTAACGAATTTTTACCTAAAATTTTATTTTACGATCAAAACATTCAGACTAACGATATTCTAACGATATTTTAAAGAAAATATTGGTATCCCTTTAGAAAACTAAGATATAAGCTAGAATTTATATAAATTCACGATGACTGAATTCACAATCAGATTGTACGATGCTGCTTCAAAGGGTTGCGTTCGAAAAAACTCTATTCGCATCTTGGATGCTTATAGAGTGTTGACTTAAACCTTCTAAAAATAAAATAACCAAATACGTAATGGGTTACATACTCCTCTAATATAAAATGTGTTTTTAAACAAATAATAAATATTACTTAAGATATATCAGAGATAAAAAAACACAAGATAACAATGCAAATAATGATAATAGTTTGCAAACGCGTTGTAAAAGATCAGAAGATTTAATAATTTGTCCTAACAATATCTGCATGAGCAGACATTTTTTCAGAAACTCAAGTTCCTTGGTAAGCATTTTAATCTTCTCCTTCAACAATTCATTTTCTGTTTAGAACTGATTTATTCGTTCAAAAGTTTGTTGCGTAAACAATTTACTCTTCACTCTGGATCGTTTCACAGCCTGTAGGAAACATGAGAATAATAATGATGATAGTACGCATATGCAAATAACATGCACAATTTACATGCAAAACTGACAAATTTCTACCAGATAAATATTTTTACTCCTTATAAACTTATAATGAAATCTCACTTACGTGTAGCTTTGAATGAATTGGTTAACTTTT